GCATGACATATGGCCAAGCATAGGAATGGGGGCCGACTCGCTCTGACGCAGAATCGGCTCAACCCACTCGCTTCCTTATTAGGTACCGTAACTAGACTACATCTTCCGTGCCGTGTGTTGAGCCATATCTCAACCAATGGCCCGGCGCCCAGCAGTGCAGAGTGATGTGTGGGTTGAAAAAATGCCAGATCCGTATACCGCCATAAAACCCTGGGGCCGTTGAAGAGACATGTGTGCGAAGAAGAAACACACATAGCGCCGCAATACATACATGCTGATTTTAGTATCCATCCATCCGTCGGTCCGTCCGTCCCTCCGTCCATCCGTCCATCCATCCAATCGTACATACATGCATGCTTACATGCATACACACACACGCACAAACGAACGTACGTCATGCATGCAGAAGTTAATACGTTCATACGGACATACATACTCAGATGATCTCAGATGCCTACTCACTTACATCCTGCCTAGCTCCCTCCCGGCCTGGCCTCCATGCATGCTGTCTTGCCCGCATATTTCCCAAAATCAAACGGGGAGGTTGAGAACAACAGTGTCGTGTTCGGGTGCTAATCCAGGGGCTTTGCGCCAAAGTGGGAAGGTTCCCTACGCTTGCCACACAAGCCACTAAACGACCACACTCAGAGATGGAGATGTTAAGCTTGAAGTTAAAGCTTTCCGCGCGAGGCGTGGCTCACCATTCCCGATGCACGGAGGATGCCCAAAGCCTTGCCATCCTAGACTCCTAGACTCTATACTTCCTGTCCCGCATAGAAGCAGGATGCGACCTCAACACCTGAAAAAGTTGCAGCCACGAAGCGTAGTGAGACTAAGGAACCTCTCGCTGAGTTCTCCCTGTAACGACCCGAAACTCCCGAAACAGGGCCTCGTTGTCTGGACCCTTGAGAGGACGAAGGGTTCCCCGGGTTCAGTGCGATCTTTCCGCTTCTGCACATGTGGGCACAGCGTAGATTAAATTGCACAAATTTAGGCATTGCTCGAGTGCGAGTGCTAGAAAAGCAGTGCCAAAAGGCCTACACAAACGATTAACTCCAGAAAATACGCTGATAACTCCTATAGTTCCCGACTGAAACAAAACCAAACAATCGGCCACTTCGAATTTAAATCAACACGTTCCCTTCATCCCACGAGGCCGAGCCATCCGAGACGCCGAAATCCCTATCTCGTCGTGGTGCTTTGGTGGCCTTCATTTAGCTAAAAAGCCTCATCGAGATTTCTGATGAGGGCTTTAAGTGATTTCAAGGATTTAGAAAAGTAATGCCTGGGATGTGTTGCCGATAGTTGTGGGATTTTGAGTCTTTGAACTAGAAATGGGGTCCTTAATGTTTAATGGGAATCCTATCTGAGCCAAAGAGTATTCCTGCATCCCCAGTGGCATCCCCAAAGCTCTGGCTCAAGGCAACCCTAGGGTTTGCATTTTCTTGGGCAAGGACCTTCGTTTTCTTACTTTCGGAATTCTGAGCCCAGAACGGCCCATCTTTTGCAGCCAATACAGACGAAAGTCGTTCGAGTTCTTCACTAGCTGGGCCTACCCTATTTTTCTGTAGCTGCTTGCCTCTGTCGGACTTGTTCAAGTAAATTTCGACTCGAGTCAACCAAGCCTAAGACCAGAGCCCAAGAAAATCTTCGAACAGCTGTTGTTCGGTCAAGTTACGGGCATGCTTGGCAGGGACACTGCATGCAGTCAGGGTAGTGGCACCGGCACCCAATCTGAGGCACCGCATACGCTAGCCTGGGGCAAGATTCTCGTCTACAGGCCGGGCATGCAGCAAGATGTGTCAATGACGAAAGAAGGAGGAGACCACGACACTTCAATGTCGGAGTCACGTGCAGGTGGGTAGTGGCACGGCAGCAGCACTTAATGCAGAATGACCAGAGAAGCTGCTGAAGTGGAACTTCATGGTACAGGCAGACTAGTCTAGCGTTAATGTGTACTCGACCAATTCTCTGGCTGTTGATGTACGGATCTTAGTTTCAAGGCATTTGAGAGTTAGTCTTGTAGGATCTCTATTCCAGGTCTTATGACCCTTTGGTCATGTTCTCCATGGCATCCTTTAGGCCGTGAGTCTTGATTGAACAGTTCCTGACATCTGATGCTGTGCTTCCTTAGCAGACAGATGATTGCCGTGTCCTCATATAGTGCATATAGCCTTCAACACATCTGCGCCGGTGTCGATCCATGCAGCCGCTGTGAACCCTAAGCCCTACACCTTTACCCAGAAGAGCGGCCTGCAACCCGGAGTTGCAAGGCTTCCCCCAGCCGCTCCCCGGTATCCCAGGCACAAAGGCACCCTGAAACAGTAGTCGAACTTGCTCTCAGTCGACTGCTCACATCTCTTGAGGGCAGATTGAGAAGCTCCATGTAGAGACATCTGTCTATCTATCTATCTATCTATCTATCGATACATTATGCATACACATCCAGGCACACACACACACACATACCGATCCATCCATCCATCCATCCATCCATCGATCCATCCAAGCATGCATGCATGCTTGCATGCAGGCGCGCATGTGTATTTGTATATATGTGTATGTGTATGTATATATATATAATGTATTTATGTATAATGTCCTTGTCTGTGTTTCTGCTTTTTGTTTCTTTATTTGTAGTGAGGAGCTTCCATGCGGCAAATCATACGAAGAGGCGATGAAGACCGCACCGCGCAGACACACGCACAAGCAGGCGTGCGCACACACTCACTCACTCACTCACTCACTCACTGACTTACTTACTTACTTACTTACTTAGACAAACACAAAAACGCACACTTCAAACGCACTTACATATTCATGTCTGTATAATGTGTATATATGTATATATGTACACGTATGTCTATGTATGTAGAAAAGAGCGAGGGAGAGTGAGAGAGCGAGAGAGAGACAAAGACGCACACATGTATCATTATTTCATGTATTTACATATGTATGTGCATAATATATGTATATGTATGTGCAAATCTATATGCATATTATATGTGCATATGCATGTGTATTCCAATGGGTATGTGCGCATGTATTGAATAGGTACATTACATCATGTATCTGCCTGTTTATACACGCAACCTCACAATAATCTACTGCAAGACGAAGAATCACATTATTATGTAGTTGCATCTTCATTTTGCATGCAGGTGATGGTTTCTTGTCTTACGACGACGGGCTTTTCGTCTTCGTATTGCCCTTTCTACATACAAAAACTCGTGCAGTCTCAGCATTTCGCTGCTTTGAAGCCCGGCCAGGATTCATATGGAAGTCTCGAAGCAGGGAGCGGCGGAGCCACTCCCAGCCGAGGTGATACTTGCAGGGTTCAACATCGCTGGTTCCGACGGTGTCGGGAAGGGAATCCAATCGCAACCAAGTTCGAAGTCCTGAACCCCCGTCGACCAGGAATTCCTTAGCTACTTCTTTGACTGCTCAATTCCATTGATATTTGAATGGCATGTTAATGCTTTGTTTACGCGTCCGTTTGGCCATTGCAGGATTTATGATGGGCTTTCTCCCTAATTTAGCCCTCAGGATGTTGTCAAGAAGCGCTTCGTTCTATACTAGTTCCTTGCGCTTTTCACTGCTCCGGTTGAGCAGGTGGCCTGCTTGACGTCCCGACGTGGTGGCACTTGACAGTCGGGGTGTGTGCTTGAGACAGTCGTGCAGCATCATTTCCAAAACCTCGAAAGTGTAACGATTCCGTCACGAGTCATAAGACCGAGTTCAGGTGCTCCACCGATGTCATTCGAGCGAGGGTCGAAGCCCAGCAAAGTCCAAGACATTTCGTAATCTGCGATGTAACTTGTGCAGGTGAGCACTCAACCCCAAAGGCTGCGGGAGCCAGGCAGCACCGCTTACAGTTTTCTCATGTCCGAAACTTTTGAGCCATTCAGCATTTGAATCTTGAGGCTATGTCATATGTAACTGCTTTTTCAAGTATCAGCCGATAAGGGGTACCTTATTTTGGGGTGCTTCTTCTTCTTATTATTATTATTACTATTATAAGGATCCTACTATTTGAGGTGCTGTAAAAGGGTACCCTATTTTCGTATTAGGGTCTTTTATTGTCGGAAACTCCCAACTCGCCCCAGAAAGCCCACCTCGTCATGGCCGCCTTCGAAGCCGGGGCCAGGATGCTCACGCGGCGACAGACCTTCACCGAAGGTGAGCAGCAGTACCCAAGTAGCTCGGACGTTGACTACTGTGGGGTCAAGAGTTTAGGGATTTTCGGAGTGTCAAGTCTTGTGCCGGATTGCTTGTCCTGGTGTGGACGCAACCTTGAAGCTCTAGGTAAGTTTGAGTCCTCGTCCGAAGCCTAATGGGGGTTTGGAGTTTCTGTGTCCGAGCTGCTTGCTCGGCTTGAGATGTGGCAAGGACTTGTCGCTTTGGACGCCCCCTCACAGCAACGTGGGAGTCTCGAGCCTTACTTGTATAGAGCCAAAGCTTTCGGGCCCGGGATCTACGTTTTAGGTTCACTACGTGTGCGTGAGTATGCGCAGTTTCTGAACAGCTTTGATGGGTCGTCCTGGTGTTCTATAGGAGCTGTCAAGGGTTTTGCAAAGACAGGGCGGCAAGAGGCTTCGGAGATGGTTTGCAAGTAGCTCAAGGGCCAAACTGTCATACTCTTAACAAACTGAATCACTACTGAACGACAGCTCTAAACTCTTCCAAGGCAAGTTCTCGACCTGGACCATCGAACAAGACGAGGACAAGTTGCTAGTGCCGGCTTTGGTGTTGCATTCTATTGTGCTCTTCTTCCGCCCATCATTAGTTCGGGACCTTCCGAGAGTGCAGGGCGGGACCGTTCTCAAACCCTGCTGTTGTGCTGAAACCCACCCCCTGCTTAGTCGCATGGGAGCTTAGTAAGTTTGTGGCCAGAGTTACATAAACCAAACGAGCCCGATAAAAGCCCTGAGAAGTAGAATCGTTCTTTGAATCAGATTCCCCCAGGAAGGCCCCCGAATTCTGCAAGACGTCAGGACACCATGACTGGCGCCTCCTTGGTCATCAATTTACTAGCAGATGTCTCTCCTGCGGGTGTTCTGCCTCTGGCCTATGGCATGTCAGGGACAGGTCGCCCAGCTCAGACAGTTTCTTCTAATTCGAAGGTTTGCTGTTTAGGTCAGGCTTCTGCCAGTATGAAGTGGTTTGTCATTTTTGAAGGGTGGGACCTAATCAGCCGAAGCTTTGTTTGCACTTGTCGCATCCTTTCTGGAAATGAATGTTCATGTGTTTGGGGCATTACAATTTCGGGCTTAGGCGGTTGAAGCAGCGATATTTGTTTGGGCTTCTTCTTTTTCAGTCTTTCCGGATTACAGCCCAGACTTGATGCCTGAAGCACATCGGGTTGTTATTTGATAGCCTTGCGAATGTGTCCATGTGAGGCTACATCCCCGCCGTCATGTTGCTGATGCTGCCGCAGACTCAGCAGAAAGGCTTCGACGCTTCCGAGATATGTGGTTCAAAAAAAAGGCTGCTCTTTACGACATAGTTCGTTATGTGATGTACGAGTGTTTTTTTTGGAATTATGCTTGAAGAAGCCGACGCACTACCTGGCGAGACGACATCTTCCTTTGACCTTTGTTGAACCTACAAGTTTTGAATGGGCCTGTTCACGTTCTACATTGAGGATACTGTCCTCTTTGAGTCCCTAAACTTCAACCTCAACGCGCTGCGCTGCATGGGTCACCACTCCCGGTTTCTTCAATGCACGTGTCCAGAAACCAGACATTCGATCCGCGTCTAGAGAGGAACGTAATGACTGCTTGGCACAAAGTTCGAGTGAGTAACATGAAAAGCTTGCAACCATATCTTCGGGCGTTTGTGGGTTGCACTTCTGCCATGAGTATTTTGGCTCTCATGATGCTAGTGGTACTATGTGCCACTTCGCTCGGAGAGCGGTAGGACATGCCAGGCGTGTGCTCAAGCCCCTGGCTCGAAAGATACCACGAAAGCCGACTCACATCAGGAGGGTGGCAGTGTCTTGAGGGGACAACTCTCGTTTGCTGACTCTGCACCTTCTTAGGCGAGCCAGTGCGCATGGTGTCCCCTGATTATTTACGCCACATGCTCGGGAGCACGATTGACTCTGGCCTTTTTGTAAGAGTTGGAGCTTCCAAGGTTTGCCTGTGGTGCTGGCTACTCCATGTATCTCATCTCCAGGACGATCGAAATCTCAGGCGTGGGCCTTATGGCGTCAATGCTCCTAAAGAGCTCAAGGGAACGTGGACAGATTGGGAAGGGCGTGCACCGGCCTTTCCTTAGTGTAGAAAGGTGTCACGGTGTCAGCATCGCCCCCAAGCAGTCATAGAATCAAAGCCACACCGAACACAGAGATTGGCAATTTTTATATATGGAGGAGTGAGCGAGTCAGAGAGATACCGTGAAAGAGACGCAGAGAGAGAGAGAGAGAGAGAGAGAGAGAGAGAGAGAGAGAGAGACAGAGAGAGAGAGAGAGAGAGCCTTGCGTCTTGTACGTTGTAACTTGCAGGTAGAACCCCCAGCCCAGAGGCCACAGAGACCCGGGGAGAAACCCCAACCAGGACCACGAAGCGTTGATCAGCTAGATTTGGGGTTGTTACTTAGCCTTTGTCGATGCGCTTCTCTGTCCTGCTTGGAGTTCAGTTGCCTAGTGAAGCCTCTCAGCCAATATGGGTGAGATGTGGCGAGGGCATGCATGAAACTTCTTGCCACCCGCAACTGTGGGGGGCGCACAAGCGCGCGGCGTAGGGGAACTTCCCTTCGCCATAGCCCTGGCGAAAGAAAGAGAGAGAGAGAGAGAGAGAGAGAGAGAGCGAGAGAGAGAGAGAGAGACAGAGTGCCTGCATGAAACCGGTGTTACGCTAGCACTGCTTGTGGGAACAAGTCGCTTGGTGTTGGTGGTCCTTGCTTGTGCATTCTACGAACATCTACGAACCGTTGTTCGCCGACTTGAAAGAACGGGCAGCCCTTGAGTGGGGTGAGGGTCAGTGACATGACCCTTAATGCCCTAGAAAGAAAGAGCAACTCTCACAGATGCCATGCAGGGTTGGGTGCTGGGAAGCGTAGTCCAAGGCCCCAACCTCTGCCCGTGTCATGTTGCGAAGCCTTGAGCGATTGGCTTGTGTCGATCTCGACCCTGGGCGGAAGGGGTGAAGAGCTATGATCGGATATGGGAGCGTTGCATTGGTGAAAGGAGTCACCTTGGCAGCATGCAGTGCCATGTCGGTGCAAGCTTTCAGGGTTCCGTGCGGCTTGTTGAGATTGTTTCGGCGAGGGTCCCAGCCCAGCAATCCCAAGCACCATACCTCCGAACGATGCAAACGAGCCCATGATCCAAACTTAGCATGAAGAAGTGCGACAGATATGTGGGCTTTTCTAGCCCTAAACATTAATACAGGCCTCTGCCTCTATGTTTCTGCAAGAGAACATGCCGCTGTCGGACTTGAGGAGCCGGATTTACAGGTAACCAAAAGCTCTCAGGACTTGGGCTCTAGGACTTTGTAGGTCCGTGGGGAGGGATCCAGAACAAGTTCCACCATGTCTGCCAGCTTGTTTTCATAACATCATGGCACCGAGCACTTGTTCCGGAAGAGCGGAGCTGACAGCAACAATAGCATTCTTTCGCCGCAGCTGTGATAGTTGGGTGGAAGAGCTCTTGAAGTATGAAAGGCAGCAGGCTTGATAATATCTTGTAGTATTCGTTCAGTCGTCTGCAGGTATACATTTGTTTCAAGCATGTGTCACTTGCGAATGCATAGAGTAGATTCCAGAGTCATAGCTGTAAACATACTGGAAGCAGGAAGCCCAGGCATAGGCATGCCCTTCGGAATTGCAGCGTGCATTTTACCAAAAGACTCAAAGGGAAATTCCCAGCATGGCCTCGAGTGGGGAGTTGAGTGGCGCAATGCGGAGATCCAGAGTTTTCTCCTCCGCATCTGCAGTGCTGCGGCAAACGAGACACTTGGCTTTCTTGTTGATATTTCTCTGCTACTAAACGGTTGTCCTTGTATTTCTACTTTGCGGTAGTGTCCTACGGTCCTACATGGTCTTGGATTGCACATCGGCTGGAGGGCTTGAAATACTCATCGTGAGCCAGGAATGAGCCTGAGCACGAACGACCAGCGAAGTCTTGACCCCGTGCCGCCGGAGCGCTGGTGCGTGACAAAGCACGACTTGGAAGACCCTCGGGCCCAGCTGGACTTCGCTTCGCATATAAGGCTCAGGCAATGATGGGACTGAGGTTTAGCTTCCTACATCTCAAATATACTATAGTACACTCTAATAAACTAACTATAACGGTCTGCAGAGTGCCAAGGACTTACGAGGCGAAGTGATGATGGCAGTCCAGCAGAAGAGGATCACGCCGCCCGCATCCGATGATGGCTTCGACATGTATGGTCCTAGCATCTATGTAGTCACGGAGCAGTATATCAAGCCAACCACGCAGGGGACACATTTCAGTTGGGCTCTTAAAAAGCACCCGGATGGCCTGGACTGTGACGTCTTCATCAGCCATGCATGGCAAGAAGGCATCTTCGAGTTCCTGGAGAAGGTGTCTAGGCTAGGCCTGTGACCTGAAATCTTTTTGTCTGGGTTCCTGAGTTTGTTTTCATGGTCATCCGAATTAAAGCCGGACTGAAGGTACTGAACTCATGGCCAAAACCTGCGCGGAATGCGTGGTGTTGCATGCTGGCGAACCCCCAGAATTTGAACATTGCGGTGTTGCTGCGATCACCCAGCCAGTCGCCCTTTGCCCGAGCATTGGAGCAGGCTACCTACGTGCTTGCGGTGCCCAACCACAACAGCAGTATTTACACGCGGCTTCTGAGCCAGTGTTCGGATTTGTTTTGATTTTTGTATCGTTTTGGGAGGCCTTAGCCCGAATCCTTGTTTCCCTTCTCAATGGGGACTCAGGCTTTGGTGTGCATATGAAGCCCATCTTGCATCAGAGCAAGGCAAGGTCATTCTTATTGCCAGAGGGCCGATTGGAAATGACTATTTGCAAGCTGTGCCATGCCTCATGCTGGCGACTGCACTTGGTGCAGTCCTCGGAGTCGTCACTCGACATCTTGCAGACGCTCAGCGCATGGATGCAAGCCTCGCCTGCGTGCTTTTCCTTGTGGCTGTTTTGATGCTGGGCGCTCTTGTCCACGGCAGGCAGAAGCGCCGTGCCCTGAATCTCTGTGGAGCTGCTGGCTCCGCTTTCCTGTTCTTTTCCTGGAAAGCACATCACTTCTGGCTACCTTTGCCAACAGGATCCGAGCTTGTGCCTCGGATCCTGCAGCACTGGGTTATAGTCAGCGCACTTGGCGCCTTTTGGATGGCCGAGGCTGGCTGCTTCCACACAGGGTCTTCTCAGGGGTGAGGTCTTACGAATGACATGTCTTCCGGATCTTTGTCCTTCGAGGTTCAAGGCTCGGATGCAAAGTTCAAGCCGGGCTTGAAGTGGAAACTTGAGAAAGTGTGAAGGGAGCACTCCGAGCATATCGGGCATAGCGAAATCCCTTGTGCAATGCATTCCGTGTGTGCGTTTGATTCGCACATAATTAAGCGGTAGAGTCGCGGAGCCTGAGAAGCCAACATCCTGAGTCCCCAATTTGAACGCAGTCACGACGGCAGTAAGGAGATTCGTGTACCTAAGCTTCCCTAAGGCAACCAGAACAATCCTGATAGATATCGGTGGTCGGTGTTTCCTTCAGAGGGAGGTTTTCGGCTTGTGGAGTAGATCAGGGCCTCGGGGACAGACCTCCTCCGAAGGTGGACCGGATATGCAGCGAAGCGCTCGAGGAGGAAGCGGTGCAGTTGAACCGTGGGCTGGAGGCCAGACTCCATCTCGACCAAACTACTTGTAGTCGATATTTCTGATCGTGTATGACATTTCTGTGATTATTGACCGCGATGACGATGTGAATAGCAATTAACTCAGCAGGAGGCCCCAATAGCAAGAAGAAGCTGCAGCAAGTGACAATCACGGGCCCGGGATGCCGGCGAAGACACCGACCATGACACACGACAAGAACCAGGCTATCGACTGGCACACGCACACTCGGATCGAAACATGAGCAGGACACCGCAGCACGACCGGGGCACCATCGGACCACGAAAGCAACGGCGACGAACGAGACTCGACCGGGACAACGATCAAGACATCAATCAAGCCACGACCAGACTTCCACCAAAACGACACGACACCGATGCCGCCCCTGCCTGGACATGACTGGCGACACGGACCACGACGCGATCGGGACACGACTGAGACAACGACAAGACCACGACCAAAACACGGACTACAGGACCCGGCCGGCACAGCGGCCGGGAAACAGACCCGAAAACGAAAGACATGAACACCGACCGGGACATGACCCATAGAACGATCGGCACAACTGAGGAACGATGCCGATTCACGCCGAGCAGCAATCTGACCAAAGCGGCGCGGACGGAGAGAGCGAATGAGACACCACCTGGACGGTCTGTGGACGCGACAGGGGCACCA